GCACCACCTACCTCATCCTATTCAGGTAACAAGGGGCAATAGAGCATGTTATCAGTCAGCTTAGCTATCAATTTTTGCATTCACCTCCTCCGGAGCCGCCCTCTAGTTTCGTTTCAATTCTCACATTTTTCCTTGTCCCAGGGATGTGGGGGGAGGGGGTCAGACAACTCGGGACTCTGGATGGAACCCTCAGCCCTTTTCTTCTCTCTCTTTCCCACGCCCCGCGTAGCTCACGCAAGGCACTACCTTGTCAGTCATTAGGAGGTTGGACTGTCCCTGGTTCTACAGCTTGTGAATAATCTTCTAGGTTCCTTGCGATGCCCGCCAAAGCACCCCTTCTCCTAGACAACCTGCTTGGAATCGACAAAGTGGGAAGGTGGGGCAGCTACTATGGAGCTGATCATTGCTCCCCCATTTCGTCTCTTATGGCCATCTCATCATTATCTTCATTCATGTTTTCGACTTTTTGAACCCTCAAAAGATCGTCATCTTTGTTTCGGATTGTTTGTTAGTCCCGTTCGACTACTATTATGCCCTTTCCCCTGGGTTCCGATTATATGAGCGAATGTGCGGAAAGACCAGTCTGGGCAAAAATTCCACTCAAGAATCATAACAGCTTACCCTTTCCCTCTCCGCCGAACATCTGGCACTTGGCATCGCCACCCCCCACCCCCCGATGCCTTGGATCTCAGAAGACCAAATACATTACTTTCCCAAGCGAACCCCACGACCCCCGAACTCCTTCCACAGGGGCCCCCCCCTGCTGTCCAGAGTCACTCTGTTTACTAGACCAATTCTTCCAATCCCTGCCGCTCGGAATAGGGATGGACAAGGCGTAACGACACTCCACCTAACCCTTGTATCTACTGTATATCTTTTGTTCCCAGGCTGCCTGGAGGGCCCTCCGTGGTGGGCCTGGGGTAGCTAGTCTTGCGGGGTGGGTGGAACTATCCGTTGACGTATTTCTTTATCAATCTTAGTACTCGCTATCCCAGATAAATTAGACTCCACAATTTCCTTCGCCCTTTCACTCCTGCTCCTCCCTGCTGTTGCTAGTTGTAAGATATGTTCTCTTCGACGATTGAAAACCACTGCTTTTTTGTATATATCTGTTCTTTTTGGTTTACTCATTTTCTACATTGTTCCTTTATGCGCTATCTCAGTTCCCCCGATTCACATTGTGAGTGATAATTTGTGATGCTAGGACCTATTCTTGGCTCGTTTCATTCCCGAATTTGCCCGGCAATCTAATACTGTCCCATACAAAACCACTCATGTCCGTACTACATTTTGACCCCCTTCCTTTCCTGATTTGCGTGTTTTGAAATGATAGGATGAGTCTATCACTCGTTCTTTGCGTTCCAAATACTGCACTTTCCACACCTTCAGTCATCTCGGATGCTAGTATTGGTAGTGAAAGTTTTCCATTTTTTTCGCATCGCAGTCTACAGGTTTATCGCAACCGGAACTGTAGAGCACTGCACTGCATGAGTACGCCTTACTATTAGATATCGGATCTTATCAGACTGCTTCCTCCCGTCCTAGTACTTGCCCCCCAGTGACAGTGAGCCCGCTTAGAAGGTATCCGGCGCACTATGATTTCAGATCGTCATGATTTAAAGTAGACCGAATCAGGATGTATAGATATAGGGTACAATTTCCTAGTCACAAATGATAGAAAATGTCCCTAATTACGATTAAATTATTGTCCATAACTGTAAATACAACTATCCTTGCCTTAAATTCTGGACCCTTTAGGGTATACTTGAAAATTCTCCTGAAATGATTTTTTAGGGGGTGTTTGGCATACCATGCCCAAATTATAAGAGTTTTATTCCTACTATCACAAGATCCTTGCCCCTTGTTGCTCTCTATCGTACCGCATTAATTGGCGAAACTGGAAATGAGTCTAGGATGAAAAAGGAAGAAAAATGCAAGGCTCCACTGTTAGCTCAAGCCACAACCATGGATGACTCACTTTTATTTCAACCACAATTGACTCACATATGTTGATCCGGAGAACAATTTATAGAAGAAAAAGATTTATACTTCAAGTAAGTTGTAGTGCACTCACCACCCGCAGTCCCCGATCCCAATAATCTGGATACCTTGCTGTCTCCTATCAATCACCTCGCTGTCCTCTATCAATCACCTCGCTGCCCCCTATCAATCGCCGTAAACTTTGAATTTCTCCCACGAAAACCTAGCTTGATATCCCAAATCAGTTGCTAAACTGGACTGATTCTTCGCATTTTGGCTATCCGGGATAGTGGAGGGCGAGTGTACACAAGTGAGCAATCGTGAAGGATGAATATCCAATACCTGTTAAATCCAGAGCTTGAGCTCATAGTACAACATATGCCAAATTCAATTCCCTGTCAAGCTTCGGAAGAGAGGATACTACCTGTTTTGCCACCTCCGAGTCTGAGCCAGCTATCTGAAGAGCCAGCTAGCACCAGTGGCCTGCATAGTCCTATGACTCTGCCTCTGAGCCCTCCCAGAATGCGTCCACCAACCTCCAGCTACTACCCACGGCCAGGCCCCCGATCCAAGCCGATTGAAGTCCGTCGGGAAGGATCCTTTTCCAGGGCAAGAAAGCGAATACAACGTTCCTACACTCGTGAGTTCAAAATTGAGGTACTCCAGTGGTGGTTTCATCACCGAATACCTCAGGAAGCAGCTGAAAGGATGGGAGAGGAAGCAGAGCATGAGGAACTGGAGGTGCTGCGAGCACCACTCATGAAGGAGGTATCAGAAAGGTATTTGGTACCAATCACGACACTGCATAACTGGAGGGTGCATCGGGGTGAGATAATTGGAGGAAGAAAGAGAGAAAGAAAAAACAGATCTGAAGCAGGCAGGTGTGCTTGGCCAGAGTTGGAGTCAGAACTTTATGATGAGTATCGAAAAAGACGAGATGAACGGAAGGCGGTACGGCGGGGGTGGCTCCGACGTGAGGCTTTTCGGATCTTTACCAACTGCTATCCCGAGAGGGATATTTCGGAATTCAGTTTTTCGAATGGCTGGCTGGCGGGCTTCCTTTCTCGACATTTGATTACCCTTCGATTCACAACAAACAAGTCCCAAAGGGTGCCGGAGAACTACTTACAAAGTATTCTTTCCTGGTTTCGCTTTAATCGGCGGAACTCACAGATTCGTGTGGGGAGTCATGATGAGGAAAGGGTGGTTGGTCGGTACTTACTTGATAGTATTTGTAACCTCGACGAGACCCCCCTCCCGTTTGAATATTTAGATGGCCAGACCTATACTGACAAGGGTAGCCATTCAGTCCAAGTTACTAAAGCTAGTAATAGCGGCTGGGACAAGAGGCAGGCTACCCTGTTATTGGCAGTATTTGGAAGTGGAAAGGCAAGGATTCGGCCGCTAATCATTTTTCGAGGTAAAGAGAAGTACGAGGGACCCCGGGCAGTACATTTTCAAAAAAAGAGAGAGGAAGAAGCAGAAAGATATGATTCCCGGGTAGGAATCAAGTGGAATGAGGCAGCCTATGCCGATTCTAGTCTCTTGGTCGAGTGGATCAAGGAGTTTCTAGTACCGGCTCTTCCCTTAGGTCCACGGCTGCTCGCATTGGATATGGCAAAGTTTCACTCGACAGCAGAGGTTTTGACCACTTTGCGTTCCAATAATATCACCCCTTCACTCATTCCGGCTGGCTGTACTGGGCTAGTACAGCCCCTTGATGTCTCCGTCAACAAACCATTCAAAAACCTCCTTCGCACTATTTTAGAAAACCTACTTGACGACTACGAAGCAGAACACCAGCTAGATTTATGCGAGCTTCACCACTCCAACACCTCCGCAATTGCTGAAAGGCGCATTCTTGTTACTCATGCTGTAGGTCAAGCCTGGGAGGAGTTTAGCCAATCACACCAAGAGTTAGTGATTACCACCTTTCGCAAATTAGGACTTACACTCCCAATTGATGGCTCATGTGATAATGAGTTAGCTGTCAAAGGTATCGATTCAGGACTACTAAGGATAGGCGATTGGAGGCAAAGGGAGGGAAATATGACAGGGGTAGGGGAGGCAGGTCCGGCATTGCATTCAGATTGTGAGCTTGAGGTTGTGCACGATGATACTATAGAGTTTGTAGATCGGGAATGAAAACTGAAGCCAGCCGGCACTTTATATTCATGTCATCACCACATATCACTCGATCTAATTCTGATATTCTGATATTCGCTTAAATTGCCACCCCCTTTTTTTGCGTCAGATGTCAATCCCCGAGTCTTAGCCCCATTTCCAGTTTAACCAATTAATGCGGTATCTCGGCTCCAATTTTAATTTGCTTTTTATAAGTCTATTCAGCTACCGGTATGCACCATATGATTAGTCAGCAGTTTGGTGTTGGATTACGATACTTGTACCAAAGGGGGTTCAGTTCCATACCAAACCTTGGACCAGGATGGAGTTAATTACACTCCCTTGAACACGCCCATAAATGAGGTTGACACTCATCCATTCCCAGACCATACATGAACCATAATGGAAAACCACGGTATTTTATGATAGGTTAGGGGATATCAGGATATTTAACTCTGAATATTACTTGATATTACATTCGTATCTATCTGTAATAACTAACAAATGTTAAATATCGTTGATACGCTAATTGATAGGTTAAAAGTAGGAGTTCAAATATTAATTACCGTCTGATTTTGAAATCAGACTCAAGTCAGGGTGCGCCAAACACTTTTTTATTTCAAAATCAAAGGGGCCATATGGCACGTCAAGCGCCACCTTAGCCATCCAGGCTGAATGGAGGGAAGGGAGGGGGGAGAGCGGGGCGGAGTCGATGGATACCCGTGACATGGCGGATAGTACGAAAGCAAGATTCCTGTCAGATCTGCTCCACGGCTGCGAGCTACCAGTTATTAAGCCGAAGGTCTCAGACCAGCAACAAAAGGAGCAAAGTGTTTCCAAATCCCTCAATCACAGCATATCGCTCAATAACACAAACATCAAGCGCTCAAGTTAAGCACAGGGCAAGATTCATATTAATTTTTTAAAATTGACTTTAGCGACTCAATCGCCCTCCTCAGCGCTTCGCTGTCCAGTCGGCAACCATTGCCCCCTGGCTCGGGTAGACAAAAACTATTCCACAGTTCCAGCACTATCTCGAACATATCCCTCAGCTCCGGACGTCTTTCATTCAATGTTTTGAGGAGCCGATATGCTTCCATACAATTAGTTGTGCCCTCAGGCTCCAGGCGCTTTTGTTCGGGGGTTGGTACGACGGGCGTGGGGGGCTCCGGTGGTGCCGGTGATGAGCTATGATCAGGCAGCGGCCAGTCGAGTGATTGCGGAAGATCAAGCTGCTTAACGCTTAGCACTGGGCCAATCAAGTAACCGGGAGGGAAGGCGACTATACGTTCTCCAGGAATTCGCTGGTATCCAATTCGTCGAGGTTCGGGAAGTCTTCCAAGATTCCGGCGTTGCAATCGGGCGTTTGAAGATTTTGGGAGGCCGAGGAAGCAGCTCCACTACCCTCCATACCGGTGGGGTCACCGAGGCTTCCCAAATCCAGTGATTCGCCGGTGAGACTAGCTGCACTGGAGGTCCCCTGGGGCAACGGCAGCAATTCAAACTCATTGAAGAATTCCTCCAACCCAACCAACATCCCGCCAGCACCTCCGCACCCATTATCCTCGCACGCAACCTCACTCCCAGCTCCGCTCGCCGCCAGTTCATCCCCCTTCTTGTCCTTCAAAACTTGTAGGCGTCTCTCAACCTCATCCTGGGAAATTCCAGCCTCGGAAAGTACCGCTCTCAGCAGTACATTCTCCTCAATAACCTTCCTCGCAGCCTGCTGCAGTTCGACATTAGCTTGCACACCGAGCTCTTTACATTTTTGCCAGCGCCTCTCAAGATCCTCCATATATTCCCTCTTTCGAGCTCTCGAGCGGCGCTGGTTCTCGCGAATACGGCTCAATCGGGGGTCCTATGGGTAGTCAGCCATCCGGTGAAGCGCGGGCGTGTGAGGGTAAAGGGTATCACAAACATCGTTGTTTGCTTTTCGCGCTGACGACATGTTAGATAGTGTGTGAGTGTGTTCCTCGGAAAAAATTCTTTCCCCGGGCGGGGACAACGTGGGGAAAGGAATGGGTAGAGTGATGGTCCGAGTGTGAGCCAATGATGCGCCAGGAGTGACATTCCGCGGTGCTTAGTCATTTGCCGATGAGTGGTGAATTTCACCCGTGGCAGCCGGAAACGGAAATCCTGAACAGTTGAATACCGTAGTTACACGATTTCCCAACGATGTTTAAACAAAGATACCGTGCCATCGAATGAGATGCCAAAGGTACAAGTCACGGACTTCATTTTCATCGTTATCACTCCAGGACGCCATCTGTTCTTAATGGTGGCCATCAGCGCTCAGGAACTCGTCTAATCCAACCCCGGAAAACAAGCCAGAGTCAATGTAGAAAGCACTGACCCCCCGGCGCATAACAACCGGGTTGAAAGCGCCCTCGGATATCCGGCTAAAAGACCTTGCGCGGCTCGCCAGCGTTGAGAATCCGGTTGTGAGTTGCGGGGACCCGCTTAGTACGGCAAACTTAAAAGAGGTGATCCTACAACTACTACCATCAAGCCCTAGGAACTTCCCAATGATGTCGTGCACACGCCGGGAGAAATATGAATAGCTATCGACCTAGGGCCCAGCCGAGGACTGGATGTCTTCATCGCAGCTCGCAGAGTAGGCCCTGAGGGGAGACCAATAGGTGTCGACATGGCTCAAGTGCAGTACCCCGATTATCAGTACCGTGGAAATCCCACCATAAGTTACGTGCAGTACACCACTAAAATCTCCAGGAGATGATGGATTCCAGCAAAAAAAAAAAACGCCACGTTGGGCTGTCACACCAGCACTAAGCCTATATTGCCCGAGGAATTCCGTGCCGATGCTATGCCCTACCGGTATTTCGGGTGCACCCCTGGAGCTAGTCCCACGCTTGAGCATGAGGAGTGGGATAATTTAGCCACCCATTCTTCCGGGCGATTTCCGACGGGGATGCTTCATCTCCTAAACCACTTGGGCCCCCTTTGACACGCCACCATATAAAAAACGCCATCTTTCCTGAAAATACTCGCAGCATACCCGAGTATATCCCACTTTGAAAAGCAGAACCTCTCTAAAATAATGGTGTCCATTTCCCAGCACCTGTAGAGATGAATTAAAAACTTGTTAGAGGTGATATCATAGCTGGATTCGTGAACCCTAAATTGAGGTGCTTTCTTTCAAACCTGTGACGATCGCTGGTGGTGTGATTGATTTTATTCGAGTTTTTCCCCACCGTGCTCGCCTAGTGATTTATGCTGAAAAATGTTAAAAAAAAATACTCCATACAAAAAAATACTACAAAAGTGAGAAAAATGGCATTTTCCCGCGTGCCATACGGGGTCTTCTACATCATACCTTCCAGAGCCCCTCAACTCCAAGATTTGCCCCTACGGAAGTCCACTTCGCGAGGTCCGGTACTCTTATCGTTAGGCCAACCACAGTTTGTGGCAAGTCCGGAAGACCCACCGTTCGCACCCCTTTCAAACTGTTGGAAATAGCAGCTGATGGCCGCACATGGAGGCTGTAGTGCTATACATATGCACTGCTGAAGGACGCGTATGTATGAAAATTTTTCCGATCCCTGTCTTTTCTTCCTTCCCATTCTCTCTCACGAGACAACCACCTCCTGCACTTTACCTCTCTCTTCGAGTTCTTCCTTCCTACCATCTTATGACAATCAATCATGATCTTCATCTTCACCCAAGTCAAACCTCATGTCTCCACTCGAGCCATTCCGCTCCCCTGCATAAACCCTCACCATCAATCACTACCTCCGTAGCATCATTTTTCAACACAAACCACACCTTGGACACGAGTGATTCTTGATGACGAACAGCCACCCGGCCCCCGAACAATCCCGAACGAAATGTCCAGTTAAGGGCCATCCTACAGCTGCCATGGATCCCCTATCGCTAATATCGGTACCCCCCTAGAACACCCTCCCAGTGGGAAACCACCGGCGCTGGAACCCTAACCGGCCAAGGGTCCAGACACAGACGCCTGTTCCCATGGGGCACCAAGGAAGCCAAACCGCCTATTCGAATAAGGCCTGGACCATACCCGAGTACGATACCTATTGCTCAATGTATAGTCTCGGCTAAAGCGTATCTATTCTTTCGGGCATAGATCCAGGGAGAGGAAGAAACAATCGGCGTATACCGTATTACTCTATTTCGAGTATTGAATCATTTGTCCGTTCTACCCTTTTTACTATCTTAACCTATCGTAGTATCATACTGGTGGGTATCTTCCCGGGTGTATTGGCCAACCCTAGCGGCGGCCCCCAATCGAGAGCCGTCCACCCCGTCTTGACCCCACCCCTTCCGTCAAAGGACCAGACATGTCCCACCTTAGTGGCCCTCAGCCCGCCTTGGACGGAGCGGACGACTGGTCTAACTACGGTACAATAACAGACCCGAAAACCTTTCGGGAGGCAATTTCACGGGATGTCACTCGTTTGTCCTGACACAGAACATGTACCCTTAACATGAAAGCATCACATATTACCGCCGATATCTTAACGGAGCACCAGCAATAGTGATCAATATATTATACAAACTTCCTAGCCCAGCGCAGCTTCCGCCATCCCGGGAGTCCAACATTTCACCCCGATTCTCATTCCTCCAATTCCTGCCATCCATGCACCTCCGACTTTCTCAATATTCCTATGCTCTCAATCATTCCCGTGCCAACACTCATGCCAACACCAACCACCACAGCCACAGTCACAACAGAGCTTTCCGTCCCGACTCGAATTATCTCCGGTCCAATTTATATACTGTAAATACTCCGGCTGGACAGCTCCTGCGCAGAAGTTTCCCACCACCCACCACAACTACTCCCCAAAGTTAACCACTTCCCGTCATGTTATTTCCTGCAATCTCCCTTCTGCCCGCTACCATAAACCACCGCACCTAGCACTACCCACATACTGGTAAAACTTTAGACGGAGAAGCATTCTTGATCAAATCACGGGTCCCTTTTTTTTCAAACAGGCTCCCGAGTGAGTGCGATTGCGCCGGCACAGTACTCTGCTACACCAAATATTAGGAAATACCGTGGGAAGTTGTGCTTGTCTTCGAGTAGAGCACCGTACACTGCAAGTGCATCCGCCTAAATCTTGGGAGGGGGAAAAGGTGGTACCAACCCATTCAAGCCAATTCTCCGAGTATTTTTTTCCCCACCTTTTTTTCTTTTCCCATTGTCAAAATCAGTCAATAAGACGCTAAACTATGTGACTCAAGAGATCAAAGCATAACGCGCATTTTCCAAATCGCTAACTAAACAAGAGTTTGAAGGTGGGGGGAAAAAGAAAAAAAAATGTAAAAACAATGGCCTGCCATCAATACACCCAATTCTTGCCCACTCCCATATCAACCAGTAAACAACAATTTTTAGAATATTTGTACCGCGGAGCCAAGTACCGCTTGCGCTCCCTAATCTTCTCCACAACCCTCCTCGCATCCCGTTTCCAAAAGGCCGTCAAAATATGCGCAGCGCTGAGCTCCCTTCCACGCTGGCTGCCACTAGTCGCCCACTGATGCCCTTTTTTCTCTTCAACCATGCGGCCCTTTACCACAAAGATCCCGCTCCTCCCCAATGGAGACCCAGCAAACCAGTCGACCCTTCCTTCGTGGCCCCTCACAAGGCGGATCGAATCGTTCCCCCCATAGTCTTTGAAGGCATCCGTCAAACACACTACGAGTTCGTTCGCCCGTAACCCCCAGATACCGGCAGCATCCAATGCCTCACAGTCGAAAACCTGAGTAGATGATAAGCGCACCGCAACTCCCGAGTCCCCATTAAGTGGAAAAGCAAACCTCTTGTGCCTTCCGCCATGCTATCGCATATTCCCGCGGTCGCGGGAAAAAGGTTCCCAGGTTAATGAGACATATGACAATCAAGGTGACGCTCCGCAGGGCTAAAGAAATATCTCTGATACGCCTTCGGCCGATGTTTACAGTCATATCGCAGAAGGTCCAGCAAACTTTGGCTAGACATTGCTGGTACCGGAAACGCTCTAGAGCCGAAGGTGAACTGTATTTTCTGTCCCATCTATGCAAGTACAACCGATGCCACGATTCCGGAATGAGAAACTCATAGGGTCGTATCAGTAAAATCTAAACTTGTCAGTCTCAAGCCCCGAATATCAATAAAACACCCGCCTACCAAAGATAAAGCCAATTCCTCATAAAGAGAAATGATGGAAGCCGAGTAAAAATTTAGCGAGTCTTTTCCTCTCCCCAGAGCACCCAGGACCTTGTAGATATTCTCGCACTATCTTAAAGTTAGCAAAATCAAGTGTAATGTGAGTAGTTGAGCCAAACATACAAATCTCCCTGGAAAATCCCCAACTTCAGTCTCCGACACGAACTGATTAACTAAATTTACCATTTCCGAGCCATATCTAAGGCTCGGGTTCCCCCTCTCTATTATCCGAGCGCGCATTGCCTTGAGGACGAACTTCCACTCCTCTTTATAGCCTGTTACTGGTTAGAAGGCAATCCTTCTCCCCGCGAAAATCTCTGCGCGCCGTTCCCCATACCTAGAAATATCGATGTTTGGTACTGTGCCAAAAGGGAAGACACACAAGCCCCTACACTCATTTGAACAGCAGACTCTATCCGATACTCTGTTGTGTCATCCTCAAGCAAAAGTGAGCATAATGCGCGATACCTCCCCTCCCGACTCACGAGATCGGTCTTGAGGTTAAATAGAACTTCAAGTTTCTGATAGTACGGGGATATAAACTCCATTTGCTCCAGAAGAGCTCCTCTCCAAAATCTCCAATCCCCTGTCCTGTATTAGAAATGAAGATTTCCGGGTAGGATAGGGCTCACAATTCCGTGGCAAGGAATCTTTAGGCCGTCTATTGCGCTTGACCAGCGCAGAAGATCCTGAGAATATTTGGCAAAGGCGCGCCAGGAACTGGTACGCTGAACATGAGTAATTTGGCGAAGCATTTCAATGTAGAGAACCTACGTCTACTTTTTTAGAGTGGATTTCGGCTAAGTTACATGTAAGTAAAGCAATATACTCAATCAAGATGGACTCTCTAGGACTACCCCTACCTAGCCTCAATGGGGGCACAATTTGGGGTTTCGCCTTTATCTTCCAGACTTCTCGCAATCCTTCATCAAGTGAAACAAGAGGAGGAATGATATCCCCTAAAATATGCCTCAATATCTTGTCCCTCAGCGATTCAATATCCACCGGCCTAAGCGGGGGTCGTGGTTTGGGGTTATCAGAGAGCGGAGACCACTCCAGAACGATGTATTCGCCAGGCTGACGTGGCATCTCGTAAACCCCACAATATATTTGAGCTGAAGACGGGATACCCCCATCCGAAGAGATATCCCTCAAATCTTCAAGCGCGCGCTCGATATTGTCAAGTGGAAGCCGTAATTCGTTGTTCGGACGTGTACTCCTCGTTACCTATGGGTGGGTTAGAGGTGAACACCGCATAAATTTCTGACGGGAACAAACCAGTATGTCCACATAGCTAGCAGTCTGCACATCATTGAACCTTCCTATCTGCACAGTGTCCCCACGCCAAGCAGAGTTATCGAGAGCTCGATTAATATCTTCCCACATTTTGACAAATGAATTGATCTGTTGGCTCCCCCTCCTGACGGCCGATAGCAGTACTTTGTGGATCCGCCCGTCTTTCTTGGCCCTTGGCCAAGGATTGGTTGCTACAAGCTCCGCTTGGAGAAATCTAAACACCATGTCTAGCTGTGCCACCTGTTTCAGATCTAACTTTGTCCACAAGGCTTTGTCACTAAGCAGCTGAACAGAGTTCCCCAGAAGCCCAGAATCGACCCCAACCCCGTAGGCTTCCATGTATTTCCTGTTAGAGCTGAGCATTTCAAAACGCTTGTTCACCAGATTCAATTTTGTCAAAACCGCTTCCTGCTCCTCCGGGTATCCAATAAGTTTGAGAGCCCGTTTTTCAAGCTCGCCGGGGGTGGTGTCGTTCCCTCCAAATTCTGTCAAGTAGCCAAACAATGCATACTGTTTCCAACAGCAAGGCTCAATTTCTGATTCAAACCTATTATTATCGGTGGTTAGCTAACCCCACTGCGCCACCGAGCCTCAAGAACTCGGATTAAACAGAAAAGGAGATCCGGCAGCAACCTTCTGAGATAATTAAGCATCCATTTGAATTGTTTCCCCCGAGCATACCCCGCCAGCGCCCTCTCATGTTTGTTAAGTTTGGTATATATCTCGCTTGTTTCTGAAAACAAGCCAGCATCTGCTGCGAGCCAGGCAGCATCTTCGTATGCTCCATTATCGGCAAGAATTCCTGCATCATTTAAGACTTTAATATTCAAAAACTCCGTTGAGATTTACTCACTAACTGCACCCTTTGGATCGCCCCCTTCCTTTCGGCATTGGACTGCCTTCGCGATGCTACCAGCTTGTAAGAAAGAATCTGATGCCTCCATGAAACGACGATTAGCTGCTTCAAACGACCCACGAGCTCTTTTGGTGAGCCCAATTTCTTCAGTAATATACGCATTGGCCAATGCAATGCCATGAGGATCTTTGGCATCCTCGAAGCAGCGGAGAGCCTAGAATATAAATAATCAGCCTTGTTCCTTGAAAACCCAACATGACTCAGCGAACTCTAGAGTATTGTCGGTCATCAATCCTTTGATACCCCATTTCTCTCCACCTAGAAGCGCTAATCGTCCTCCCTGCAGACAACCGCCTATGAAGCTCCGAAACCTAGGGATGTCAGGGCGAGTAATCCAGCGGAATTTCAGGGCATACTCCTATATCTTGCTCTGTTAAAATCTCTAATATGGGGCCCGGGTATTCGCGAGGCAGCAACAAAGTTGCCGTTTGATTGAACAATCGTCGCACCGGGCGTAAGATACATGAGTCACTCTCCAGTATCCATAGCCTGTTGCGAGCTCTTGTCACTCCGACATATAAATGCTTTGCGCCCGTGTGGGATTAGCAAATAATTTGAGCTTAAAACAAAAAGCGGACGATTCTCAAACTACCTTCAATTCTGAGCAGAGGGCCTGCGGCGGTATCAACATCTCCTTCACGATACAAGTCACCAGTTACTCACGATGTTTTCCTTTGCCCAGCCTGCATGGCCCCCTAGATGAGCAGATGTATTATATCCACTTCCTAGCCCCACTCCCTGCTCAAGCTTGCTTTCTCCTCCAAATCCTAAATGGTCCTTCGGAGATAAATCTTTCGGGATCGATGGGGTTAGCACACGACACAAACCGTCCTCCCAAAATAATATTTCGATCAAGTATAGCTCACCTGTACCATGCCTCCATCTAAAAAGCTCTTCCAATATATCCAATTTATGGCTGTAAGGGCTTGTGCTAAGGAAATTATAGAGGAAAACATCTTCAAATTCCATGCCCTTACTCTCGAGAATAGTTAATACCAATGAAGACCTTCCAAGCTCCCCTTCAAGCTTGTCGCGTGTTTCTTCATCCCTCACCAGAACAACACGCACTTCTCCGTATTCATTGAACCTACTACTCTGGCCACCCGATTTCCGGGGTTTCTCTACCTCCTTCTCAAACCTCAAGACATCTATAATATTGTCCCCAACTTCACAATTAGCTATATAGTGCAGCTCTGGTAAGGGGGGGGGTTACTGTAAAGTGTAGGCTTAGGACCGGGACTATCTCCAACCTCAGGAGGTAGTTTATCCACCAAGTCCGGAAAGCCTAAGTTGCTTCATAAGTATGATAAAAGACAGTAGTGTGAACCGGGGAGCAACGCACCTCTATATAAGAGATGCATCACTAAGGAGGCAACCCTCAAAATCTCTTTATGAGATCTAAAGTTATGCGATAGAGGAAGCAATACCGGCTTTAGCTGGCTAGCCCTACCAACGGTATCTCTAAAGCGCTCATAAAATAAGGATTTCGCATTTGCAAACCGGAAAAGGGCGTCTTTGGATATACACTGGGCCGTATCGCCCGCTATTCACGAATGAGAACCGAGTTCCAAGTGGGTATGTCGGAAAATAGTGGGCACCATACCAAAATGGATACCCAGAGGAGACCCCACTAAGGTCAAGAGTATTCCTATATCTGATGTTCGCTGATCCTGGACCTCTGGCTTTTTTTCAATACCCGACAAAGCCATTATTTAGGATCCAGAAATACTAACCATCCACATAGATTTCGTCCAGTATGCTAAATATCTCCGAAGACCTGAATTCCTCCAAAGCCTTTGTAACGCGGATGATTCTATCCGCCTGATCAATATCGCCATTTTTCTTCTTAGTCCGCTCATACCACTCGTATATGTCATAGACAGCGCCTCTCTCCCACTCCGAGGCAAAGTTGGGGGCCAGCCTCCAGCGCTTCCCTAAATATTCCTCGCGAGATAGAGGCTCGAAGTCTGTGGCTGGCGAAGCTGATCCCTTGATGACTCCCATGATTTCAAGAAACGCTAAATCTGCCGGAATACCCTTCTTTAATCTTGGGGACATATATTCCCAATACTCAACGCTAAACCTCACGAAGTCGATCACGCGATCGCATTTAGTATTATCTATCCTGATGTATCTCCGCCGGTTTACCTGTTCTCTAAGGATGGCTTAGCACGCCTACTATATATTAACATCTTGAGTAGTGGAGCAACAAACCTAATGCTATTCTCAATAAGTCTCAGCAAGTAGTCAAAAGTGCACACCAGCGGGAAGTCCGCATCGGTGAGTGATGAGAATTGTTTTCTTGTATTGTCATCAAAATCGTCACTATTGACATAATTACCCTCAGTAGCTCTTTTCCTTTCGCCCAATTTTGCTTCAATCAATCCGTCGGTATTATCTCGTAGCTTCGACACCAATCTCTTTGATCTCGTGAGCAAGACCTATGGTTGTTAGCCCAGTCAACGTTACACTCTCGGAGTGTGGCCCAATCTCAGGCTTCTTACGGTCACGTACTTGTCTCAACGGTAGCCCATTCTCAGTGCTATTTATATACCTCCCTGCTAGTTTATAAACTAAGCAAGTGGTTTTCCCAGTCCCGCTTCTCCCGAGAATGAATGCTGGGGTTAGAAAGTGATCTACCACTGCGGCCTCCTCCGCCGATACGTCTACCGGGTATGCCACCTTTCCAGTTGTAGAAGAAATGTTATCCAGGACCGTCGTAGTGAGGCTATAAAACTTTGCTATTAACCGCGAATTTAGCATCCCCGAGAACAACTCAAGGCCGCCCCAGCTTCTTTACCTAACTGAGCCGAATCATCGAAATCCCCATTGCTTGTGTCATCAACCACCAGAACGCCACCTTCCTCGCCGTCCAAGCATACCCTCTCTGGATAGCTGATCTCCCGTGACCTACCCAAATCGTCTCTGTTGCAAGCTTCCACCCGAGCTTTTGTATAGACCTGTTGTGCCCGATGAACCTGCACACCAATCCTATCCAGCTGTTTCATGTTAACATCGCCATATCTACATCATTCCAGGACTCGATACATACATTTTGGGGTTTTCCAATAGCCCATACTAAACCGGGGTTACTTGTCGTTAGTTCTCCATTAATGAGACCAATTTCTCAGGTATCCACACCTTTTATAACTTGATAGTCTTCGCCAAACCTCTCATCAAAAGCGGCGTCGATTTGCCATAATATAAAATGCCCGGTCTTATAGAAAGCTTTAAATAACGGGATTCGATAGCTTAGTAAGTTGTCCCACCTTGCCCTATGGAGTATCTTTTTTCCAGCCCAGTCTCCAGAGGCGAGCTCGGAAAACTTGCGCCGAACGGTCTCGAGGTTACCTACCTAAGGTCAGCAATTTTGAAAAGCCTTTGGTTTACTGGAAGGAGCACCTTGGGCGTTCACCGCTGCCAGATTCTCCATGGCCTGTTGGGAGAGTATTATCTTCCACGGCCCTAGAGCCTCACCTAAGAGGGATTTGAATACATTTGACTGCAAGTTTGATCCGAAATAGTGGTCCCGGGACCGCGCAGGTTCCCCCCCAGAATCCCGGTTGAGTCCGTAATCCAAAGGTACGCTAGAAGTACCCGTACAGGATCCGCAAGGAATAGCGCGAATAAACCTCTCCAACTCCGAGATGCTGGTCCCCCTGGGCCCCGACCTGTGAACCTCACATCCCCTGCAGAGATCCATAATAAATTGGGCCCACTTTTCCCTGGCCCGGGGCTCAGAAATGAGACCTTCAAAACACTGTCCGTGACCCGAGGCTAGCCTTTTTATGTGCCCTTCCGCAATCAAAATCCGCAATATCTCCGGAAGAGCCCCTAATCTCACACCAAACACCCCCAAAGTCTTTGGATCCGATAGCTTTACCACGGAGAGGACAATTCCCGCAATTGCACTCCTAGATCTCGTGTCATCGAACCGTTCAGTGAGTAGTGAGAGAGTAAAGACCCTAATAATTTCTCGTAATGAAGAGTCATTGTAATCATATTTATCGAAGCTAGAAAATTGACCCAACAAGGAGGCAAGATTATTCCCGTAAATCTCTATTCTTGAGAAGAAATTTTTGAAACGCTCTTCCCTCAAGAGAAGGTCAAAGATCTCGTAAGGTCTGGCAGCCAATGATTCGTATGCGTTTCTAAAACCCCTAGGGCTCTCTGAAAAGATGAGCTCAAGGAATTCCACGCCTGAATCCATCTCGCAGCAGAGGTAGACCGAGCTTGTCAGGAGGGTTCGAAAATCCGGTTCACCAGGAGAAGAGACTGAAAGACTGGCAGTCTCAGGGCAAAAGTCCAAGTGAAAGAGACCTCGGGCAACCCTGTCGGCTTTGTCACACGTTCGTCCAGTTAGATCCTGTAAAGCCTGGTTTTAAGGCCCCCCATCTTTGACGGGTCCGGCCGAGCACCCCCAAGTGAAGAAAATAAGTTACCGTAGTGGGGCAACGCTATTCCCCGTCAAAAAACGGCCTGATTCGGAACAATCACCAACCGCCCAAAAGCTATGTGGATAGCTTCAATTATCCCGGAGAGGTACCACCGTAGATTCTAGAAATCTCTCACTAAATGAGTACCGTACCCATCTATACTAATTTATATCACCCTGCAACAGCACCGCCTCCATTTGTTTGGTACGGCAATGAGAGGATTTCCGAGTCGTGATTCCACTTGAGGATGGCAGAGCAGAAAGGATATCTATATTCCCAAACACGGTGAGGTAAAGTGAGCCATAGGATCAATGCAAGAAATATTTTCAGCCCAATGCCAAACCCCTAGTAGACATAAGTGCGCAAAAATTCCCTCTTTGGTGTGTAACCAACCGGCCTTGTCCCACTATTCATATTTTCTCCCTTCAATGCCCCCATTCCGGACACCGGCTGGCCGGAGCGTTCGCTGCTGCACGAGTGCTCGAGTAGATCTCAACCAAGATTTTGTTCCATTGGTGCTTATCACATCCACTTGTACAACCCTGCCCCGATGGATAAACAAGCTACCGGTGGTAACGGAATTCTGAAACGGCTCGGTGGGAGGAATGCGAGTAAATGATACGTCATGGATATCAATCGCGATGGGGATAGTCCAGATGAAGACTTGATTAGTACCCGGATATGGTAGACTTGGCTAGGCCAGGAACAAATTGTTCTATTCTGTTTTTTCCCTACTCCATTCTGTCCTGCTTCCACTAACTTACTGCTGACGTGATGAAGACATAAACAAGTTAATCCAACTTAACCCACATTTCTTCAAGTTACAAGCTCCAACAAGCTGAACAACAAAAATAAAATAAAATCTAAGTTATCATACGATATTTTTTCTTCTGATTTTCTTCGATAATCCATTGAATTCCTTGCTTCGTTTCAAACTCGCAAACGAGCGAACGGTCGGTCCATGGTATGTTAGCCCATCTTGGGCTAACTAAGGTACAACGGCTCCAAAGTCTGCAAACTTCCCCAACACCTCCCAACAGACTGGAGTGGCTGGGCTTAATGGATCAGAAGAGAAAATGAGAAAAGAAAAATCCAATATACACGTGTTCAAAGCAAATTTCCAAACCCCAACCCCCAGTGCGAAAAAAGTGAAAACGGAAGATGAACCATAAACAGCCGACCAAAATTCGATGGAAAAAGAAAAAACCCCTCCAGTGAGAAACCACCCTCCCAAAAAAGGCATTTCGTAAATGACATAATAGAATGCGTTGGAAAGAGCCATAATAAAAAGAGAAAAATGATTCTTTTCTTTTTTGGCATTTTGTTTCTCCAGTGCCGCAAAGAAAAGAGGGAAAAAAAGCCCCGCTAAAGTCCATGTCTATAAGCATAGCAAAAGACAAGACGAAAGAGAAGAGAAGAGCCAAAAAAAAAAAAACTCTGACAAGCATCAGAACCCATATTCACAGAAACCTCGTGGAAGAACAAATGGAACAAAAGAAAAACTAAAAAAAGGAGCTTCCTTCTCAGGAAACCTCCATTTTTTCTAAAAGCCCAATCTCCGCTGCATCCTAACCACTCCGATCCGTACCCAGACAACGAACCCCAACCAGCGTTTCTTAAATCCAGGCCTTTTTCGCTTCGGGTTAGGTGCCTCGCTCTTTCCAGATAATCCCCACCTCTTGCCGGTCCCGTGACGACCACGACTATCATTACGTGACGTGCTGCTGGTACGGCTCCCATCAAACCCATCAAACCCTCCAACCTTCTCCTTCATGGCACCACCAATGACAATATCGTCATCGCCAAAATCCGCCTCATGCGACCAGTGCTGTTGATTGCTCGACCCGGAATTCCCTCGTCCACGACCCGAACAACGCGATGTAGCCCTTGATCGCTCCCCCTCCTTAGCCTCAGAACGCCGCCTTTTGCGTTCCCTCTTTTCTTCCTTCTTCTCCTCCTTCGCCTCCCATGCTAGCCGTGCTGCAGTAACAGATGCCTCAAATGATGGGGTTGTTTCCGATACTGACTTGTCCAGCGACGACCGGGCCCTGTTATGAGAGCGCTTGAAGGAGGCCTTAATACCATGTTGTGATACGTTGGATGGAAATGCCGTTGAAGGTAGATCCATAGGTGATACAGGTGATATAGGTGTAGTCATTTGGATGCTAGGGGTCCTTGCCCTCTGGTGTAGATCCGTCATGCTTAAGGTAGGTAACATGGGGGTACTCCTGCCTGTATTCAAATGAAGTCCACCCGGAACTGGCGACTTGCTGCCTCCCAACGCGTTCCTCCGAGGCTTATCCGGAGCATGCTCGTTGTCTGACTCGTCACTCGACTCGTTCGACGTGCTGTACTGAGTGACATCTGGTGTATATCCACCCCTTCTTGGAAGCTGCCGCTTGGGGTGAGAAAATGTCTGGTTACCGCCGACTAGTAAAGGAGAGCTCCCACTGGTTTGGGAAAAATTTCTTCGATGTCGATAAGCGAAGGGCGAATCATCTTCGATCCCACTCGAGTCATACCCAGCTCCATCGTAAATGCCCAATCCTACACCATTTGGAAGACCACCGTCCGATCGGGACAGATCCAGAGAATTTGAACGAGATCCGCTAACTTTCTTCAAAAGCGGCTTTATCTTTCCTCGAGCCCTGTGCGCAGCAACCGATACGGAAGCCGGATGAGAGTGTGAATGCGAGGGGTGGTCGTAATGATCAAACGACGGTGGAGGCGAACCAGGACCCGAGAAAAATCCCTCATCCACGTCGTCGACAGTCTCTTCCCTATTTTTCAAAAACGACCGCCCGCGTTTGTGTAATTTTCCAGGAGTCTTCGTAGCATGTCGTGCGGCGGCAAGTCCTAGGTTCAAACGAGGTGATGAAGAAGTTGATATTGAGGATGGCGGACCGATAATGGAGTAAGATGTGGGTACGGTTGATGTTGAGGATGGATAATACGACGTTGAGGAGCGGGGCGTAGTGGGGACGAATGATCCCGGATGCCGAGGTGGATGATACTGATAAGGGGGCGCAACGGAAGCCATCTTGTTAGACGTTGTAGACGGTGTTCAGAAGCAAACCGACAAAAGGCGAATGTACCGTCGACGGTGGGGGGAGGTGGGGGATAAAACAGAGAGAGGATGTGCTCGAAAGAGGACCCCTCTGCAAGGTCAGATAAGAAAGGCCTACGTCGAAGGGCGGTGCACGCGATGGCCTTACCCCGATCTTCGCGGCGAAGTAGGGGTGAAATACGCTGGTGACAGATGACGGAGCTGCCTGGTTGCGTGCGGTGTGGCTGCCGCTCGTTGCTCTGCTGCTTTTCCCTTTCCTCCCTTTCGCCTGGTGGTATGCTGGAAACAATAAAACAAAGAATTCCAGCCTACAGATCCCGGATACGTCCTCCGTGCGTGGCGTTGTTGATCCGGTTTTGTACAGAATGCGACCGCAAACACAAGTCGAACTTGAGCTCGACAGTCAACAACGCGGCCGAGATAAATCCTCCCGACCGTAAACAAATCCAGCATAAACAAAACACGACCTCAGCCAACCAAAAAAAAAATCCCCTCCTCTCTTCCTCGTACTTTCTCCGTATGTGAAGGGGAAAGGGGGGTGGGGGATGGGAGCAGGCAAAGGAGTCCAGTAATGAATGATGTTTGCAAACAAGCACAAACTCTCCCCCGCTCTTGTGAGTCGAATGTTATAACCACGCGAGATGAGCAACTAATAAAAGTGCTCGATGGGAGGGGGGTTTCGTAACCCAGGATAAGGATACCCTTTCCCCCTTTCCCCGCGCGGCAGGGGAACCGAAAAAGGTAGGTGGGAAAATAGAGCAAGACAAGAAGTGAGAAGAAGAGTGAAAAAACACCAAATGAGCAGCCCCGAAAAGTGTACCGGTATCTCCCCGTGTGGCTTACTAAATGGGCTCAATTCTTCGACTAACTACTCAGGCTGAGAGGCTGTGGGCGATATTCTCTCTCTTTACAAGAGAAGGGATACGCAAACAAAGACGTCGTAATGAGGGGGCGGGGCTATCAACCGGTAACGGTGGTATCAGCTGAACCCATGAAATGACCTAAATTTTTCAAAAGAGTTAAAATCAATCAATCATCTCCTCGCGTCGATTAAAGAATGGGTGGGGGAAATGGGTGGCTATCATACAGGTAGCTCTTTTTTTTTCTCTCACCTCGCTCCCACACAATAAAAAGCGGCGATGGTATGTTTCCGCCTCCGTGTTTGTAATCCTCAAATCCCCAGTGTGCCCAGCGTTTTTCCGACCGTAAGAAAGAAGCAAGGAAAAAAAGAAAAGAGAGCTCAGCCTCTCGAATCGAAAAATTCCTCACAAGGGCAAACTCGTATTTTCCCGAGAAGTAGTATTATGCCGCTAACCAGATTCCTCCCCGGGTTGTTTTTCTCCCTTCGTTTCGTTCCTTTTAGTCCCTTCTTTCCTAACCTTTTTGGCCTGGCCCGGAGGGTGTCTCGATGACGATATCAGCACCGTAGATATACGGTAAACAGATAAGGATCACCAAACACGGGTAAGGAGGATAGAGATGAGGGAGGGAGGGGGGGGAAAGGGGGGAAGGGGGGAAGGGAAGAGATGAACCCAGAGATGAGGACGCGGGGCCGGATACTATCGAAGAAAAGAAGGGAAGGGGGAAGGGAGGAGGGAGGAAGAAGTAGAACGGAACAAGTGGTGAAAGATAGACTACAAAGGGAAATTTCCATCCAACGTGGAGCCCAAATGAAAAAAATGAAATGAAATGGCACGGTGCGGGATGTAGGTGTGGAGGAAAAGAGATAAAATGAAAAATGAAAAAAGCCTCTTCAAATCATCATCCACTCGAGTAATAGAAATCCAAGAGGGAGGCTTTTTGTAAAAGGCCTGGAAGAAGTCAGTGTGTTTCTCTATTCTTGAAAGAGGGTACCGCGGAGGAGCTGTGTCTCCAACCGGTTCAAATCCAGAAGGGAAAGCAAGAAAAGGATGGCCAATACAATGATAAAAAGCAATGGACACACCTTTCAAGCCAGGAAGAATGTCTCTGATCATCCGAAAGAGAAGGGACAAGTAAAATTGTCGCACGGACATTACCTGAATCAACTGCACAGGAATCACGACCGAGCAGCTTGTCCATACATATCTCGCACGCAGAAAATCCATCGTTCCTCTCTGTCTGGAGGGTTCGGCAAGGTTATGGAGGTTACATGGAGCAGGAGGGAAGCCAATTCCTCGCCTGGACCATCCTATATCTCGACCCTTCTTCCCTACAGTTACATATGCTGGACACACTCGAGTACTCGAGCACAGTACCGTACAACAGATAAGAACATGTAGGGTACCGTAACGGATTAACGTCCCAAATGTCGGCTTGGATCCATCCCTCCACCCATCTGCGGACTCTGATACAGCACACTGTACCTATCAATCGCGCTACCGGCACTCCAGCACTAGCAGTAGATGATCATATCCCATCGGCTCCTCATGATACCATCCATACTCCCACTGCCTACCGTATTCCGACAGCTTCAGTCAAGAAAGTGCCTCTGAAGGGGAGAAAAATAATACTTGTAGAAAGCGCAAGTGGCGGTGCCTCGGGGGAACTGGTTGTCCTCTGCTGTCAAAAGACAACAGCTCATTCGTCGCCAACTTCCAGCGACCGGCTCCCTCCCCCACCTACCCAAAATCTAACAAGCATCACACAGCCACAAGTAGACCACCCATCATACAAGTACCATACCAAGTAGTCCCTTCCCCATCATCTCCCCCATCCACATGGTCACTATAAACAAGATCACCAAACAATTTACTACTGTCACATTCCCAATTCCCGTGACCTTTTCATGCGGACATGCACCCCCATCCCTTCCCTTTCGATGGGCGAGGAAAGGTGCCAGTCCAAAAGAGCTACGGTGCCACCATCAGAGATACTCGAGTAAACCTGTTGTGTCAAATTCAGTAAATCGACCTGTCACTTGAGATCTCCTTCGTCTAAATCTCAATAAACCCCCGCCCCCCCTTGCAAATCCTGGCCCCACTGACACAAACGACAAGCACCAGGCACCCCCAAAGTAAAAAAAAAAAAAAAAAAGAACTACCAATCCCGGAACCCGAGCTTGACTGAACAGCGAATGCCCTCTCATCCACATGCACCGCAGGAAAGAAGGAAAGAAAGAAAGAAAAGAAAAGAAAATAGCATCCCATCACTAACCACTTTCCTTCCCGGCAAGCCTTATGCGAGGAAGGGAAAAAAATGGGTTAAAAAATGGGTTAAAAATGGGGATTCCATCCTCAGGCAGCGGGAAAGCGGAAGGGCGACAAGTTTACCGTGCCGGTATCATGCAAGCTCGCCGAACCCTTCCTCCTTCATGTGGGGGGACGAAGGAAAAGAGAAAAGAACACATATACCGGTATATGGCAGCAAAATCGCGAGACGAAAGATGAACGGCCTCTCAACCCCGTCCCGTGACCGGTCCTACGGTATGATACTCGTATGATATGATGCTCGAGTGCTTGTGCCATATGGTATGGTTCAAGAACAGAAGAGTGTGAACCATGTGGCTGTATAAAATGCAACAGTGGCTGTGCAGTAACAACAGCGGCTGTGCAACAAAATTGCCAAGCCCACCAATAATAGACAACAAAGAAGTATGAATAATATAAAATACATACCTTTTGTGAGAATCTGAGACTTAAATTTAATAGTTTAATACTAGGATAAAACTGGCCAACATTGAATTACTTTAGCTAAATTACCCATCTCATTACTACTATAATCCTCCTACTCTGCCTGCTCCTTCTGGTTCTCCCAGTCCTCCTGTACTCACATCCTATGTGCAAGTGTAGCTTCATTTATAGAATTCCCAGTTGTACTGAGTTTCTGCAAGCTTTATTATCTTTCAACTTGCTTTCTCCTTCTCTAAATGGTTTGCAGATATAGCGTTTTACTTCTTTTTCCTGTATGAGATATGATTTCAACAATCTCTAACAACTCTTACTATTAGATATTTAGATTTTATTTAAGGTGATAATTTGAACATGACTTGTATAGAACTTTATCTTGAAGTATTGCTATATTCTCATTTGCTACTTCTTCTTGACTTACAGCTTTATCAGTACTGAATCCACTACCATCTCTTGCTTTTTTAGGCCTACCACCTAGGTGACCTACTCTTTGGCTTTGTCACTTTTACTTACTGACTCTGACCATTATAACATTATTGACTTTTATTTCTCTGTTGTTTCTCTAATAATATTTATATTACTATGCTATTGATATCCTTCTTACTTTCAATATCACAGGATTAGTCATCATGGGATGTTGCATTTCAATGCCAAGACCATGAATTCTACACCAAAATCTGGGCCTTTTAAATCATGTTTATCATCACTTCTACTTAATTGTATAAAATAAAAAAACCGTACTTTTATTCTGCTTTACTTGATCTATACTTCTACGGTTTTTTTACATCATCTTAGCCAGTATTTGGTAGCTTAAACTGCTCTAAAACTACTGCTAAATGAGGTACACACTTATTCGTACTTGCACTATACCTTTTTTTTTTTTCCTTCTTCCTTCCCCTCCTTTCCTGAACCATCTGCTCGGTTAGCCAGTGGCGATATTTCCGTGGCGGTGGCTGGTGGATACAGCAGCTCACTTTGTTACCAAGGAAGCGGGTTAGGGGATTTAAATCCTTACTAGAAGAGCTCAAGACAGAAGGAGGATCCCCAAAGCGTTCATACCGATACCGCTAGCTTGAGTAGCTACGGCAGCAAGCAAAGACACCTCTGCTCCTGCTTGATTGCTTAATTTCTTTACCGCCTGCTGCAAGTGGGTGCGAGCGAGATCACAGATGGACAACTCAGAGCCCAGGCGTGGTGAGGCTCAAAGCGTTCACGTTGAGATATTTAACGCCATTCCATGGTGTATTTCCTTTTGCCCTTCTTCTGCTAGACATACTATTCGCGTGTAAGAGCATTACCCATGTATCGAGTAGAGTGCTTGCGCAGCGCGGCATCGTACTCGAGCACTATGGAGGTGCCAGCAAGTTTCGGCTGCTCAATCGGAGGCATACCTGCACTGTATCGTGCGGTATCGTGTTGCGGTTATTTTCGTCTGTGGATTTTGCAGGAGTGTATGGTAACCCACTATTTGCGCCTTAGCCCGTTACATATTTGCAGTGGGATACCGTAATCCAGATAAATGTGATAAATGTACGGTACTGCGCGGTGGGATAGATCCTCACAGGGCAATGGCCGTGTCATAATGGGTTGCAGTACGATTCCATTTTTCTACCGGTATGCCCCGAGAAGAATGTCACTCTTATGATACAGCGATCTCCACCGCTAGCTATGATATGATACCAGATCTCGATTCTGCCCCCGGTCCCCGTTTCTCGTCTGTGGAAGCCATGGGACCCTTAGAAGATGGAAAGCCCCCCCCCCCAAGAGGCCGAAACAACCCTTACCTACTCGGCAATTTAGAAAGTATTTGGACGCTTGGCACACATACAGGTGCTACTAAGGCCAAGGTGTCCGAATACTTTATAGATGGCCAAGTACGGTAATCTCCACCAAAATTACCCAAATTTACTTTAGAACCTCACTCATTCGATTCCCAGTCAGCAATC